GACAGAAGGAGAGAGGAGACAGAGAGCTCGAGGACGTGAGGAGGAGGAAGGGAGAGGAGGGAGAGAAGAGAGAGAAGAGAAGCAGAGTGAGGAGAGCGAGGAGATGGGAGAGAGAGACGAGCGAGAGAGGAGAGGAGTGAGACGAGGGAAGGGAGGGAGAGAGGGAAGGAGAGAAAGAGAGAGAGAGCGAGGGAGAGGAGAGAGAGCGAGAGGCGAGAGAGAGAGAAGAAGGAGGAGAGAGAGACAGGAGAGAGAGAGAGGAGAGAGATAGAGAAGAGACGATGAGAGAAGAGAGAGACGAGAGAGAGAGAGAGTAGGAAGGGAGAGAGAGGAGAGAGAGAAGAGAAGAGACAGAGAGAGAGAAGAGAGAGAGAGAGAAGAGAGAGAAGGAGGAAGATAGAGAGAGAGAGACGATGAGAGAGAGAGAGGACGAGGGAAGAGAGGAGGAGAGAGAGATGAGAGATGGAGAGAGAGAGGGAAGAGAGAGAGCGGTGGGGATAGAGAGGGAAGGAGGGAGAGGGGAAGAGAGGGAGAGGGAGAGGGGGGAAGAGAGAGAGAGAGAGACAGAGGAGAGAGAGAGAGAGGAGATACGGAGACGGGAGAGGGAGGGAGAAGAGAGAGAGAGGAGAGAAGGAGAGAGAGATCAGAGAGAGAGAGAGAGAGAGGAGAGAGAGAGAGAGAGAGAGAAAGAAGAGGAAGAGAGAAGAGAGAGAGAGAGAGAGAGAGAGAGAGAGAGAGAGAGAGAGAGAGCGAGCGCCACTCATCCCCCAAACAAAGACAAGCCACGCCATTAGACACTGATGGACGGGAGAATAAGCAGAGCTTCTCTAACGAACACAAAGAAACCACGAAGAAACTTTTCGTCGCGCGATTTCGTATCGTCGCGTCGCCGCCTCCCAGGCAACCGGAAAGACCTGTCTTCCAGTCATGTCAGACTCCCGCCCCCCTACCCAACCCTCAGCCCCCCTCCCTCGATATCCCCAACATCTTCCCTTACCTTCGCCTCCATTCCCTTCCAATCTCTACCTTTCCCTCCCTTCCTCTTCGTTTCCCATCTTTCTTTCCTCTCCCTCCCCCTATTTCTCCCCCCCTTCTCCCTCCCTTAATCCACCATCCACCCGCCCGCCCGCCCCCCCCGCCCACGGCTCACAAGAACTGCCAGTCCAACCATACCTGCGGAGCCAAGCCCCAAGCCACCTCTCCCGTCACTTCTCCTTCCCACGCGACTCGGCGGGTTAATCCTTTCGACTCGAAGCGCCATTATCTGCTACACTTTCCCTTCTCCGTGGTCTTTTTTCTCTCTCTCTTCTCGTCACTTTTTTTTCGCCCTCTACCTCTTTTCATCTTCGTTTTCCCCTTTTCTCTTATAATTCCCGACCTTCTATTTCCATCCTCTTCATGCCTCCGTATCTATCCATTTCCGACCCTGTCTATTCTACGCGGACCCTTCCCCTTTTTCTTCCCGCTTTAGTCCCTCCCTCCCTCAATCCCTCCATCTTCTCCCTCCCTAACTCGTATCTTCACCTCACTTTCCTCTCCTCTCTCTGAATATCCCTCTCACCCTTCTTTACTTCCCCTTCCCTCCCTTCTTCCCTTCCCTTCCTCCCCTCCCCTCCCCTTCCCTCCATCCTTCCCTTTCTCCCCTCCCCTCCCCTTCCCTCCATCCTTCCCTCTCTCCCCCTCCCCTCCTTTCCCTCCTCCTCCCCTTTCCCCCCCCCTCCCCTTTCCCCTTTTCCTCCCCTCCCTTCCCTCCATCCTTCCCTTTCTCCCTCCCCTTCCTCCATCCTTCCCTTTCTCCCCTCCCCTTCCCTCCATCCTTCCTTTCTCAACTCCCTCCATCCTTCCCTTTCTCCCCTCCCTTCCCCTCCCCTCCTCTCCGCCCTCTTGGTAAATGAACGGGAGTGAGTCACCAGCGGGGCTCCAGGGCCAGTCCGCGTCCCGGCGACCCCGCTCTCGAAGGCCTCCACAAAGACCTGTCACAGTCATGCGGTCAAACAGTCAACCATTGCAAACACATTGGTGAATGCTCGTTGTTGAGAATCAGATAATTCACCCTCTTTATAACCTATTTTTTCTGTTTAATTCTTCTATGTATCATTTTCTTTCTCCCGCTTCTCCCTCTGTGTGTAAGTGTACGTGTACGTGTACGTGGGCGTAGCATGTGCGTCGGTATTTAAACAAGTAGGCTGGCAACGAAGCAAGAATGATAGGTAGCCGGAAGGTGGTGGTAATAACGGAGGACAGGCACAGGCACCGGTTGAATAGACACCAGCAGGCATACAGACACTCACACATATACTCAAACATACACAACATATACAAACACACGCACGCACGCACTCACTCGAAGGAGGAAATCGGGCGTAACGGGAGCCGAGACAGAGCCCGCTGCTATTTTCTCTGCAAACACGTAACCGTTGCCTCATTGGTCGTAAATCCTCATTCTAACTCAGTTTTAATGAGTCTGTAATTACGCCCAATTCCATCTCCTCCCTCATTCCACTCTCAACTTACGTCTTCATTTCCGTTATTTTCATTTTTTTTCTTTTTAACTATATCTTAGTATTAATTTCATTTTTCTATTCGTTTTTCCTTTTCCTTATATTTGTCCTTCTAGTGCTCCAGCCCCAAGTCTCCGTTCCCTTCGGTTCCTATTTTCAAAGGCCCTTCTACCCTTCAATCCTTCCTGTATATATATATGTTATTTTTGTCTTGTGGAATGAAAAGGAAAAACAGAAAATGTTATTTCCGTGTCCAGGAGAGTAGACGAGACAAGATTTAAAAGAAAAATGCAAATGGGAAGAGATACTATTCTACAAGAAGTCACATAAAATGCCTGTTTACTTTTAACTATCAACTATAGCAGTAAAAGTGCGACAGTTAAAATAAAATAAAATAATAATAATAACAATAACGATAATAATAATAATAATAATAATAATAATAATAATCAACATGATAATATAATCATCTGATGATAATAGCATACAATAATAAACACATAATCAATAATAAACACATAATCAATAATAATAAAAATAATAATAATAATAATAATAATAATAATAAATAATAATAATAATAATAATATAATAACAATAATAACAATAATAATAATAATAATAATAATCAATAATAAGAAAATGGCAATAAAATAATAATAATAATAAATAATGAATAAAATAATATAATAATAATGATAAAAACAAATAATAATAATGATAAAACAAATAATAATAATAATGATAATACAAATAATAACTCTCATCATCATCATAATAATAATACTATAAAGTAACATCAACAATAAACTATAAAACAAAAATACAATACTACAATATATACTAATAAGATACTAATAATCATGAATCATACAATACTAATACTAATGATCATAACTAAAACCATTATCTCATAATATCATAACTAACAATTATAATAATCGACAGTAATAATCATAATAATAATAATAGTAATAATAATAATAAATAATATTAATAATAATATAAATGAAATAATGATGAATGATGATGATGATTGATGATGATGATGATGATGATGATGATGATGATGATGATGATGAATGATGATGATGATGATGATGATTGATGATGATGATGAGATGAGATGATGATGATGAATGATGATGATAGATATGATAATAATAATAATAATAATAATAATAATAATAATAATGATAAGAAAAACAATGATAATAAAATAATAATAATAACAATATGAAGATGATGATTAAGAATAACAACAATCATCGTCATGAACAACGAAATCTGCGCACACACCAACTGCCACCTGCAGCGATACCCTCGCTCTGGTTTGCCTGCACAGACATCACGTAGGGTCACAGCTGGTTCTTGCGCGGTCCAGCCATTACCGCTACACGCCAGGTGCGTACGAGCGTGCGTGCGCGCATCAGTTCGTGCCCTTCAGCACCGCTACCTCCATCCACCCGACCCTACCCGCTATATAATGCGGTAAACCTCCGCTAACTCAATGCACTCCGACCCCTCCCTCCAGCCCTCGCCTGCGAACCCCCTGCTCAGCCCTTTAAAAGTAAAATAAAGAACGATAGAAAATAAGCTTACATCCAGTCTCCAAAATGTAGCGCGCCGTTTATCTGCCAAGCACGTCCCTTGACCGGATCATCAAGTGCTTTTATCTGATATGCGCTCCAGACTTTTCCAGGTGACCGAGATAAGACAAATGGCCTTTGCTCGTTCACATTCGTTTCTTTCTTCCCAATCCTCCTCTTTATCTCTCTTTCTTCCCCCTCCATCTCTATCTACTACATCTACTACTATATTATTTATATTCCTCCCCCTCGCCTCAAGTTCTTATTCCCATCCCTTTCTCTCTCCCCTAACCACTTCCTTCTCTCCCTCCCTCCCTCTCTCCCGCGCCCGTTCCCCATTCACCCAATTTCCCACACTCGAGAAGGTCCTTCACTGTCCACTCTCCCGTCGAGAACGTCATGAGGACGAGGATCCCCCTCTCCTCCTCTTCTGCCCCCCCCCCCACATAACCCCGTCCCCCTTCCTGCCTGACTTTGTGAATGGGTCGCAGCCAAGAGGACCTGCGAAGAGCACCGGCACCTCCAGCGGCTGAAGGGCCCTCGGCCGGAGTGCGTGCGTAGTTTACCCGAGACACAAACAAGGTGCTAAGAGAGGGGAGGGAGGGGAGGGAGAAGTAGGACGGGGAGCGATGGAAAGGTTTAGAGAGGGAGGCAAGGAGGAATAAGAAGACGAGAAACGGAGGGAGGGAGGGGAAGGGAGAGACACGGAAGGAGGGATAGGAAGACGAAAAGCAGAGCGGGAGGGAGAAGGGGAGAAAGAAGTCGGAAGGGAAGAGAGCTATAAGGAAAAAAAAGGTAACAAAGTGTGGTGGAACAAGGAAACATGAAAGAACCAATGAACGAATGAAACGGCAAAGGTCTGCATGTGGGTACGCGTACTCACCTCATTAGGCTCTGAGATTTCGAAGAGGTCAAGTCTGTTGGCGTTCCACTGCTGGATGATGTGGCGGAGGTTCTCCCGCTCCTGCGCGCGACGCGCCGTGATGGCCTCGTCACCCATCTGCAAAGGGAACAGGCTAGATGTAAAAATAAACCAAGTAAGAATTTTACGTCATTATTCCCTACTTATAGTCAACAGTGATCCAGAGTCATTAAATGGAATCAATATAAACATTCTAAACATCACACGATGGTCGAAAGAACATAAACAGTCAATAATATTTGGCCGACAAAACTGCGCGGGAACGTTCCAATTAAGGTCTGCGAATAATTGCAAATAATATCCACTTTTCCATTCCCAAGACAGTTATCATTTTCGTAACACTTGAGAAAGGGAGGAGAGGGAGGGAGGGAGGGAGGGAGGGAGGGAGGGAGGGAGGGAGAGAGAGGGAGGGAGAGAGAGAGAGAGAGAGGAGAGAGAGAGAGAGGGAAGAGAGAGGGGGGAGAAGAGAGAGAGGGGAAGGATGAGGAAGAGAGAGTAGACGAGAGAGAGAGAGAGAGAGGAGAGAGAGAGAGAAGCGAGAAGAGAGAGAGAGAGAGAGAAGAGAGAGAGGAGGAGGAGAGGGGGGGGGAGGGGGAGGGAAGGGAGGGAGAGAGAGGGGAGGGGAGGGAGGGAGAGGGAGGGATGGGAGAGAAAGAGCGTGAGAGAGAGGGAGAGAGAGAGAGAGAGAGAGAGAGAGCAGAGAGGAGCGAGAGAAGAAGAGAGAGGAGAGAGTAGAGAGAGAGAGAGAGAGAGAAGAGCGAGAGATGAGAGAAGAGTAGGGGCGGAGAGGAGTAGGGAGAGGGGGAGGAGGGAGAGGGAGTAGGAAAGGGAGAGAGAGAGAGAGAGAGAGAGAGGGAGAGCGGAGAAGACGAGGAGAGAGAGAGAGAGAGATGCAGAGAGGAGGAGGAGAGAGAGAGAAAGGAACGTGGGCGAGGAAGGAGGGAAGGGGTAGAGAGGAGGGGCGGGCCGGATGGAGAAGGAGAG